ATATGCAGGTGTACGTGCAGTTAAAAGGTCATTATCCTAAAAAAATACTTTAACGTATTTGCTTTAACGTATCCGGAAATTTCAAGAACGGCGGTACGATTTTTGACCGTAGCTCAATTCCCGTTTCGATAGTAACTAAGTCGCTTTAAGGGCTTCTCGAGTAAATAATTTATTGCTGATATGACATTCAAAAAATCATTGAAAGTGAAACAACTTCAGCTGAGAACAGCAAACAAAACGAAGGGATACACAGAATTCAAAACAAAGTTTCCACACTTCTGTGCTATCGCCGTGGAACTGTTAGTTCATTTGTGGCTTTTTTGCTTGTGTGTTCGTCGCCGAAAAACCACCCTGCGCTCACATAACGCATGCACGAATTCATTCGCGACACAGTTACTACTGAAAACTCTTTCGGAAGCGGTCGCCACAGATATTTTGCCAGTTTGCTTGTGTTTGAGTTCGATTCGAACACTTGAAGGTACCCAACACACCGAATGGACTGCTGCCGTACAGCATTTATACTATTTTTACACGATAAGTGATTATTTTATCACGTCTGCCCAGAGGCTTTTGCATTACTCGTATTTGTAGCGCCCTTTCAAGACCCCAGACAATTATAGACAATTTATTGATTCAAAATAATTTCTGAATGCTTGTCTTATGTGATTTATACGAATCATTTTTTTTTTTTTCTAACAACACTAAACTTTTTGCCCAACACACCATTGAACTACAGTCACTGGCTACAGTAGTAAGACGTGCCAAAAAGCGTTGAGCACTATTAAGCCCCAGTTGCTGAGCATAGTAGCTTACTCCTCATTGTAGTCCAATAATACTGAATACAGTAGCTACCAACTGTCTACAGTAGGCGACTCCTCCACAATAGTGCAATAATAATGAATACAGTAGCAAGCGACTGGTTACAGTAGGAGTGGCGACTCCTACACTATAGTCCAATAATACTGAATACAGTTGCTAGCGACTGGTTACAGTAGGAGTGGCGACTTCTACACTGTAGTCCAATAATACTGCTACCAATTGTCTATAGTAGGTGACTCCTTCACAATAGTCCCATAATACTGAATACAGTTGCTACCAACTGTCTACAGTAGGTGACTCCTTCACAATAGTCCAATAATAATGAATACAGTAGCTGGGGACTGGCTAAAGTATGAGTGGTGAGTCCTCCACTGTAGTTCAAGTATAATGAATACTATTGTCAGCGACTGGCTATACTAGTTGTAGTTCAACTTTCACTGTAGTTCAATAATAACGAATACTAGCGACTAGTTATAGTAGCTGACAACTCCCACTGTAGTCCAATGATAATGACTACAGTTGCAAGCGACTGTAGTTGTACGTACTGCAACCAGCGACTGTTGCTTAAACGTCAGTTGAGTATTGTATTGATGTGGTATTCGAAATTGGTTTATTGGGGCAGGAAACGAACCAGTTCGAACATACTACATACTTGTTGTGACTTGCTTTAAACACGTATGTGAGTCGATTTATTATTTATTTTATTGGTGTAGCGTCAGTAAGTTTTTGTGAATAGACGTGTTTATGTATGTGTATATGACAGGACAAACTTGAGGACGATTTGCAGGAGATGTCGATTTTTCGGTGACGTTTTCTTCGACGCTCAAAAAATGTAACACATGTTTAAATACATGCCATCATATAATATTCATTAAATTCAATTCCCGATAGTGCATGACTCTGGCTTTGTTAGATAAATTCCCTGACACAGCCCACCAGTTTAACAGTTGACGTCCCAGCACCAAATTGAATTTCTATTCGCTTAATATTAAAAGATATTTTAAGAAATAATTACAAAGTTTGGCTGCCCCTAAACCCGTGCGAAGTATGCTTGGCGTTCATGTGTGAATATCTGAAAATAAATATCTGAAAATTCTATTATATTCAGTCGTCCTATAGCAGGAAGGAAGAATATTGATTAATAATGCCCATTTATTTTATTTATTTATTCGGAAACGATTACCGATTAAACTTGTTGGTTGAATGTTGTTTAAATATAAGTAACCCTCAAGGGTTTCCGTAATGTCCTTTCTATTTTAAGATACCGTAAATAAATTAAAGTTTATTTAAAGCTTTTTGAATACACACGAAAAGGATTCAAATACGCAAATATGTACATTCGTACACGTAATTTTCGTATGTTAATTTGCTTTATCACGTCCGTATCTGAATTTGTTGATTTACTGGTGTGAACATTTGCGAAAGTAGTCTTGTAGTTCCCAATATAAGTAATGGATAATAGTTATTTTTCAATGTCATTTTATTGTATCGTTGTATTGTCATATAACTTTGTCAGACACAAACAGTCAAACTCCTACTAGGCGCACTAACTACACCTCCTACACGCCTTTAAATCATATAGGTAATATGAATATGGGCGTAGCCACTACGCCACGTATTCACCTCTTTTTTTTGACTAAGTACCACGTATAAATTATGGTCTTCATATTAGAAAATTATAGTATTCATAGGAACAGTACGTTGCTACAAAAATATCTTTTTTAATTACTAGTACAAAAACAAGTACTTAGTGAACTGAGAAAAATTTTACAAGCCCCACCAATGACATAGTAATTCTGATTCCATTAAGTTCTTTGCTGTTATTAATTGCATTTGTCAAAGAATCTTAGTATCATTAGCATTTTATGAAACATCAACACTCACAGAAACAGAAAAACGGACACTTGAATTTTCTAAAAAATTAATGACTTTCCCAAAAACCTTAATGGAATTACTTTGAGTTTAAGTGTACATGCCGGGTTAGGGGTTAGCGGAATGCCAATTTAATATTTCATTTTTTATAAGAAAAATGTTAAAATTTCATTTCGATCTATTACTTCATTCCTTGTCGTATCAGCGTATTTTTAAACAACGAACATAAATTGTTTATTCAAAAGTTTATAGGCCGTGAGAAGTCATATCAAAGTAGTATACCTGTGTAGATTAGTAAACGGTATAGTTTGTTTAAAAGACTTCGAACAAGTCTTGGCGGATATCCACATGAGAGAGATGTAAAAACTGCATCAACAATAGAATTGTTATAAATATACAAAACATGGTTTTGGAAGACTATCGATAAGTTCAAATATATCTTGGCATTGCATATGGAGCTGTGAACAATATTTTATGCCAAATTTTAAGTTTCAAATAGATGTTTGCTTAATGTGTGCCATATTCGTTAACGATACCACATAAAAAACACTCACATATGGCTTTGATATTGATATTGTGCATTACTTTATCACTATAGCGGAATTTCAGGTCTTCCACTTTGATCCGATGTAAATAAAAAACCCTTAGAAGTGTCGTGAACTACAATCTTTGGTTTCTCTTCGTAAATTGGCCAAAAAGGTGTGAACAAAAGTTTTTTGGGTCGTTAAGAAAATTTTGAGGCTGAACTATCTCCAAACTGGTAAAATAATAAACTCTTATTACTTATAGAACTTTTTGAACCAATTGGAAATTAAAGTTTGAACAACCAATTTATTTGATTTCGCTATCTTTGGCTTCTATATGTCCTTATATCTCAAAAATGTTTTCGATTTTCAAAATGTTTTCATTACACGAAAAGGTAATAAGTGCCGTAAAAAAGTATTCTCCATGAGTTAGAGAATCGTTGAACTACGTATATTGAAGTTGAGAAGGACTATACTAAAAAACATAGTCACTCTAACAATTAAAAGTTTGGTTTTTCATTTCCGTTTCATACAGTTTTTATAAAACCTAGTATTCAATTGTGAAATTATTAAATATCTTATTTCAAAAAACTAAAAACTCGGTAAAGTTATTACTTTAGTGGTTTGGTTAGACAAAATGAAGATTCAATCTATAAGTCCAGTTAGCACTTTTGGTCTATTCTGTTATAATCTTTTTTCCTATTGGTTATTTGGTTACAACGACGGATTCGTTTCAGCAACCTCTTAAGTTCGTTATTTTTATTTATACTACTTCCTTGAGATACTTGAAAAGCAATAAATTTAGGCTGGTCTTTGATTTTAAGGTCATGAGTATAAGAAATTGCTTGCAACTATGACAATAAATATTGTTAGAAATTTTAACTGCTTGCTCTTCATCTGATCAATCCAACTGATCTAAAAATATTTCTTTTTTTTCCTACAGTATGGAATATGGATACTAACAAGAAATCAACCCTCTTAACAATGTGGCTTTTATACTAAATGGTGAACATTAATTATTTTTACTTAACCATGGTAATTAAACATTTAATCCTAATTTCTTTATTGGAGAAAAATTAAAAGAAAAAGTAAAATATACTCTCTCTCTTAAGAAATTTACTGGAAAGAAAATTCAAGTCGAGTGTTTTGAATGTTCGTGTGTAACAGGACTAAGCATTACTTTTACGCATGAAAAATGCAGCTGAAGCGAAAGAATAGCTTCTACGATAATTTTCTTAATGGAAACTAATCATCATATTACACTAGATTACTATATCGAGATACCATAGACATCAATGGTATCATTAGACGATCAAATAACTGACAACGAAGAGATTACACTATTAGTGAACCCTTACCTTTAGTGAGTCCCATAAGAATATAGACAACATCGAAACTGATAGACGAGTTTTGTAATATGTGATCCATTTTATACAAATGGAGCACTTTCATTTTATATATGATTACTGCTAATACTTACATGGGTACCATAAAGCAACAACATTTGTTTTAAGTTTAATTTAATTGCTTTATTAAAAAAACATAAAGAATTCTATTCAAATATTAAATATTTTAATTTTTCTTCAAAAATATATTAGGTGATTTGAAAAGATCTGCTTTCTCCAATTTTTTTATCAATTTTTTCACACATTCTTCAGAGCCGGTTGTACAAATATTTGGGTTATAGTGAGACTTTGGGGTAGAGTTCTGCACTTTTGAAGAAATATTTCCGTGTCTAATTCTTTCTTCCCACTCCAACGAAGATTGGCCTATTTTCGGGTTCATTTTTAAAAACGTTGGAACAGAACCACACATGTCAATATTGGGGTTTTGGATTTTAAAGTCTAAGTCAGTGTCATGTTTTACAGGGCTACGTGTTAAATCAGCTAATTTAGAAATTTCCGTACATGTACTATTCTTACCAATTTTATTAGTTGCTCCTTTATTGAGATATGTCTTACGGAGCTCAGCAACGTTGATCTTGTACGGTTCAACAGTAACATTATCTTTTGCAAAACTTGATCTTATTTCCACATTTGTAGCTATGAATTTATCGCAATTATTTGGAATATTTACTGATACATTAGTATTCAGGAATAACTTACCTGCCTTAGCCGCTATTGGAATCTGTTGCTTTGCCTGGTACTCGATTTTCATTCTCTTAACTAGGCCGTGACAAACCATATCTAATTCTAAATCAGAGTTTTCCAACTTAGAGGTTTTAGCCTGTTGATTAATTTTAGTACTATTATTAAAGCATTTGAATGTATTTGTTTTCAGAAGAACTGAATAGTTCGTTGAGAACGTCGAATTTATGACTCCCAACTTCGTATCCCATTCCAAACACCTTTCTCTTGTTGTTGCACTGCCTGGACTCACACCATTTTTTCCAGTAATTTCTTGTTTCCATTTATTTATATAAAGTTTGGGATTAAAATTAATATAAGCTGAGCGTAGATAGTCGGTGCGTTTGTTATTTGGTTCGTTTGATTTGGAGAATAATTTATTTGCTTTAGTCATTATTGAGATCTGTTGATTTGCCGAGAAAGCATTTTGTAGTTTTTTAACTAGGCCTTGACTAATCACGTAGAAGTCTCTATCATATTTTGTTGACTTACAACTTTTAACTTGTTGATCCATATTTTCACTTTTATTGAAGCGAGTACTCCGAAACGACTTATTTATGGCTCCCAACTTTTCTTCCCAATCTATGCAACGTTGCTTGACCTTTTTGTTGCATGGAACTATAATGTTATCGGTCATATGCAATGTGGAAGCAAATTTAGTTGCGAGATCTAAACCATTATTTTGATCTTTCTCGTTATAAATCAAACTCGGATTGTACACTTTTTGAGTTTTAATAGTATGGGCTGGACCGAACACTTGCTCTACTGGAGAACTGTGTAAATACTTTTCAGTTGGTCTGTTACATAGGTTTATTCCAGATGATAACAACTTTTGATTGATTTTCTGTAAATTATTTACACATGCATACATAGTATGGCCAACAGACTCACATTTGTTTGCTTTATCACTGATTTTAAAGCATCGATCAGCAATCAACGTTCCTTTCTTCATAATGCTTTTTGGTGCCTCAACTACTTCCATCTGTGTTCTATTACCTACCATACATGGCCTATTAAATGTTTCTGTTAGTCTCTGCATCTGATTTTCCTCAGCTTGTAGTTTAGAAACTTCCTCAATATCTGGTGTAATTCCAAGATCTTTAATACGGTCTAAATAAAAAAAAATATATTAATAAAACTGCCTACGTTTAAACGTTTGAGGATTATTCACGAATTACCTTCTTCAGGAAATGTGCAGTTTTGTCGACGCAAAAAAGGGCAATATTGATCAATCTCAGAAGAAAATACTCTGTTTCTTTCTGTTTCCGCCTCACTGTAGTGTCGTAAAAGTTTTTCAGCGTCAGTCATTAGTGTAGATTGTATTTCAGTACGTTTGGTATTTTTATTAATCCCAGTATTAGCATTTAAGCAAAGTACACGGCTCTGATCCCACAAAGACCTACCACTTGCCGCATTATAAGGTTGTACAATTCTAATATTAACTGTATGCTTTTTGCATACATAACAAATTCCGGACTTCTTTAAAACTTTTTTTTGGTCCATAGATTGACATTCCCGCGGATTGCGTGAGTGAATAATACGTTCTTTGAATTCATTTGGAGTTGTAGAAATAGATTTCAATACTCTGCCCTCCAACTCTGTCGCTTTGTCAATCAAATGTTCTGTAGTAGGGGATTTATCTTCTTCCATTGCTGCGGATTGCTCCAGAACTGAACTAGTAGTGTTAGCATTATCATTTGTGGGAAGCATTTTCTTATATCAAAATAAAATAGATCGAGTTTAAGTAGTTTGCGGATTATATAGTAATATATAAAAACACTTTTATGTAACGAGTTCCTAGGATTGTAAAATGATTTGTAAAACTTTTTGTTTTAAATATCGATTATATTTTCATTTTGAATTGTGTTTTTGACATTGATTGCTTGACATATTTGATTAATCCAATGAAATGTATTAGAAAAATATTTTTAATTATAAAATTACATACATAAATTAATTGTGGAAGAAAGAAAGTAATAGAGGATGCATAATCGCACCCAATCACATATATTCTGTACATCAGATCATATTATTGCGCTGTTTTAGATGGAGAACAAGATTGTTTATTATCTTCTTTTATTATAATAGAGGCATTGGATTAGAATGTGGACAATTTTTATATTATACATTTTAAGAATCGTTTATAAAGCATTATTAAGTGTTCAAAGATTTTAGTAGCAACTGACATAAACCAGTACGTGTCTTCAATTATCAACAATGATAATTTTTATCATTTAATCAATAAACATTGATTAAACTTTATCATGTCAGAAAGTTAAGAAGTATTCAAGCGCCATACTTTAGACTCACTATGAAAAAACTAAATGGACATCTCTACAATTATTAGTGCTGTGTTTTATGGTTTGGTTATAAGGCAGCATGTATTCCTTCAAACTTCACTCTCTCACATCTTCATAGATCGCACTATTGTATTTTAAAACGCTTAATTTTACACTCTTTTCAATTCTACCTTCTATCTATTTAAGACGAATACTGACTAACCACATACCTTCTGCACATGCCACTTTTAAAGTACTCTTAAAATATAGATCTCATATAAAATTTGAAAGGAAAAGAATAAGTATATTCCAACATCTTATTATTTTCTTCCCTTAAATATAGTTCACTATCTTTCAATTCGTCTGTTGTCATTCTCTTCTTGAACTTGAACAATCTCAAGGCCTCAACTTTGTCTTCAATTTGTCTGGAGTTGTATTTTACTTTACTGGCTCTACTACGCAAAATCAGCTTTCTCAAGTATGCTTGCCTTTAAGCGTATAAGCTGGATATGTAGATAAATCTGAAATCGTTGATACAGTGTAACAGACCTTGTGCTGCTTTCAAATTTTTTATAACCATTAGATAGAGTTTTAAAACCCGCCAAACATATGTTTTAATATCTATTCGTATTCTTTCTTTTTAAAATGACCCACTGCGTGGGTCCCTGAGATTGACATAGTAATATTGTTATATGTTGGGATAATGCTGTTCAACATTTATTGTTTATACTGTTTACACATAAATATGCATATTATTGTTTAAATATATACCAGGAAGGACTTTATTTTTTACAAGATTAATGTCAAATTGGCTAAACTGTCTTTTATTGATATTTTAGCTTATTTTGTGGGTTAATAAGAGACTGGTCATCACATTTGACAAGTGACCTAGCAGCACCCTGGTACTCTATATCTGCATATAATGAATATATTGATCGCTATTGTCTGACATATATCCTCACTATTATTATATTATCTCACACACTATTCTCACTATACCGGATGTACCTAAGTAGGTATCCTCTTTGTGATTTATAGTAATTCGAATATCAACAGAATTTAGTCCATCACCTTTAGAGTAAAAGCTAAATTAAAAGCAGATTTAGTTAACTCATCTTGCATTTGTTATTGTTAATGTTTATTTTAAAGTGGTAACAAGAGCGCCTTCATACAATTGTGTACAAAAAGTTGGTATCAGAGTCTACTGACAATATAGTGTCTGTAACTTTTCTATTGATGTGTGCCAAAAATGTAGATTTTCATTAAATATCACACTATCACGAATATCGGCTAATAAGTCAAACAAGAACTCCAACGCAAAACTTCAGTCAATTAGGTTAACATTTACTTCTAACGTTATTAATTGCTGCAGTAGAGTGATATCCAAAACCTATACCCCATCTTCGGCAATATTCCGAGGTATATGCAAATAGACAAAAATTTCTTCCTTGTTACATGATAATAAAAATAAAACTTTTGCTAATAGACTAAGAGAAATTTGTCAATTTACCTATTTTCAACCTGGTTAGCTATTTTTTGATACTCATTCTTTTAGTAAACAATCTAATACCTTTCTTGATTCTTCAAGTTTTCATGATCGGAACTATTCAAAGTGGATTTCTTTTTTCACAATCAGCTTTCTTACACGAGTTATATTGAAGACTCTAATCGCTGATTGATCTTAAATAGTATATAATTAATAAACAAATAATTTACAATATCTGAGAAATAATTAACTGCGTTATTTTGTGGTGGTTATATTACGTCAGGCAAAACGAAGGTCTTAACATCAGTTAATTGAACCTGAGTGATTTTATGGCAGGAAAGTGCCTAGTGAATAAAATCAGGTACGTACCTAGTACAAATTACTAGATTAACTTTAAAGACAATAAATAGTCTAAAAAATTGATCAACTATATATGACAGTCTCTAATAGATATTTATAAAAGATATTAAAATTCTTAAGTGTTCTCTGAAATGTTACCGTAGGTTAAGGTACCATCTCAAGTGTTTCAGAGACCAGTGATTGCCGCTTTTTTGAAACATATATTGACACACTTAAACATATTATCTTTGAATGCCCTAAACTGAGCAGCAGCAGTCTTGGCTATGAAGGGAACAAACTTCTTGCTTCTCATAACATAAAGAATAATACGAAACCGTCAAAGGTGCTCAAGTTCAATATAACAGACCAACTCAGTTGCGGTGGATAGTATTTAAATCTTAATAATGTCTATGAAATATATATTCCAAAAAAAAAAATTATTTTTTGGAAAGTTGTCGAAAATGTTTTCAAGTTTATTAATCAAATTTCTGTGGATTTTGAATAATTTACATATCAGAAAATATGTTGAAATTTTGTTAATAAACATGCACGGAAAAAGATAAAATTCATTTACATAAACAATATACAAAAATATTAAGATTAAGAAAAGTTATCTAAAATTGATAAAACCATACAAGCCGCTTATCACAACAACGTTACACATAACGTGAGTCGTTTTAGTTTATGAGGAAAATTTTACTGCTGAACTGGCATTGGCTTTAACAGGGGCAACGTCAACTTAGTGTAGACTCACATCATTTCCATCATTTTCAAATAAATATAAATTGACTTAAATAAACCGAAGGGTGAAGTCGACCTATCTTACCAGATTTAATATTATTTTTATATGCACATATGCAAATACCAGGTCGCATCAGAAACTTACATCATCTGATAGAGACAACTTTCGGTAGTGTGGTGTAACAGAGAAACTAAGAAAAAATACCTTATGTCCCGTGCAAAATAAAAGCTATATGGAGTAGAAGTTCAAAGTTTCCGTAAAAAACATCAGTGATTGTCGTGAAAGTTGAGTTGCTTTCACTTTGGTAATGCAAAATCTCAAGCGAACTGTGTCAGAATCAGAGGGGTTTGCAGCTTCCGCGTTTTTGTTCTGTGCCTTGTCAGCCAAATATACAAAACTGGGGAGATACTAACTTAGTACTACCACTAATACAATATTTAATATTGAAGGTGAGGGACTAACAAATGTGAAGAAAACAAATATTATATACTGCAGTTTAACTAAATCTGTTTGCCGATTTGAGTGCATCAACTACATCAACTACATCAACTAAACGGCGATCAGAGGCACTCTTTAATGAGGAGGTCCGTAATATATTAAGCAGGTGTAGAGCATTCTGTATAAATCTATTCAAAATAGAAAAGCTTTTTTATACGCAACACATAACAAGTTGCAAACTTGCTTTATTCCATGGAGTAAAATTGAAACTAGATAACAATGTGAAGCTCACGGAAATAAATTTGGAAGCTCAACATGAATGCAAGGACTTACAAAACAATAGATACACTGCACTTATGTAAAAAAACTTTTGTAAGAAAATGGAAATTGTCGCGCAAAATTATTACATTAGATATACACGTCTACAGTCAGACACATGTCTAGTATCATGCCTTAGAAAAAGTAATTTATACCAACTCCTTAGGCAATGTTTAGAGTTTGGCAGCTGTTTTTACAATGGGGGCCTTGAGAACTACACAGTATGGATGAATGTATACAATAATAAAAATTTAGAAATAAATGTAGGGGTTGGTTATTCTTGGAAACTGTTAATAAGTTTTCTAGCTTTAGACGACTGGAATATGGTAGTGCTTTCTATACTGTCATGCTAAAGTCAAGATCATCCATAAAGTTGGAAAATTGTAAAGTATAACATATTGTATAGTGATCTCTATATTATCACATCGATGTCTATATTGCTATCATTCAGAGGTATTGTGAAGCTCTTCCATTTTTGCGAAATTTAAATTCTTTCATTGTATTGTGGCGTATGAAATGAGACTTAAAGTTAGAGATTCGTCATCCTAAAAATTGTAAATTAAATTAGGATCTATTTTTTATTGATTGTTTATAATTTATTAAAGAATAATAAATCAAACAAACAAAAAAATTTTGGCCATATATAAAGAATAATGTATTTATTTTGCTTTTATAATTGTGTACTTACAGCAGGTAAACCACTTCGCCGAAAAGTGGCTCCGCCACTCATATCATACTGAAATGATTGATTTTAGGACTTCAGAGATAATTCCTAAACATATAACATACCCATATTTTAAGGATTAGTAATCAATATATCGTCAGTTTAAAGGAAAAAATCACTAAGTCTAATTTAGAAACGCTTCAAAAAATATGCATAACCATATAACATACCCGTACCTTAAAGATTAGTAATCAATATTTAGTCGTTTTGGAGAGAAAAGGAGTTAAGTCCACTTTACAAACGTACAAAACGTTAACAATAATATGCTTACAAAAAAGGTTTACCGTATATATAATAGGAAAATTATGGATTTCTTTTATTTGACGACAAATCTAAAAGCACAAAAACTATATTTTAGATTTCCAAAAATATTAAAACCAAAAATTATTTTCAGTTTTTCGCCTCTCCTAAAGTAATAGAACATTTGGATTTGGAACCTTTTCTCTTTAAGCCGACGATAAGCAAAATTTAATCGTTATATTTTAAGTTCACTACAATCCTTCTCAATTTATAAAATAATTTATTAAAATAATGTTAGTGAAAACAATTACCAATAACATTTTATTGCAGAAAGGTTTATATACTATAAAAAATTCTAGATACATATTGTACTATAATTCAAATTAAATGAGCTGTGAAATAGCACCATTTAATTAGTACAGGATTGAAAGATTATTTTTAATAAAACCAGATTTTTTTTATTAAAAATGTTGAACTGCATATAAACTTTACTATTAAATTAACTCCTTGTTTAAAGACCGTTTGTGATTACATCTTCTCCAATACTATTTCTTTCACGACGCTAGAGAACTTTAAAATGAAACATTCTTATGTAGACTAATATAGTCAAAATTCAAAACATATTAAATACAGAAAAAATCACGGAAAAAACTGGAGTGGACCACGGGAAAAGAATAGGATAAGAACTGGTAGCGGTAGAGTTAAGAGGTAGGCTTTAAAACCTTTAAGGAACATCTTTTTATAAATATTTTTTATGTTTTTAAGCAGATGATTTTATCTAAAGATGTAGTACATATTGTTTTTTTGTATTTATAGCCAAAAGGATTTTTTTTTTCATTCATTTCTTTCTGAGTCTCATTTATGAAATTCTTTTGAAAATGAAGTTCTACGACACAAATGAAAAGCAGAAGTTTAATTACGAATGTATGAATGAAAAATCGTCTTTGAAATACTTTAGAAGACAGTTAAGTTAATGCGTTAAAGTCGCTACGCACTGATCTAAGATCATCCATTAATATACTCATAAGTAAGAAACACTTTCTCTTCCGAAGAACAAAGATCATGTGAAACTTGCAATGTAGAAAGATAATTTTTATAATTAAATTTTAGAATAAAAATAAGAAGAGATAGATTTGTAAAATGAGAAAATGTTTTCATACAATAAACTGACGATTATGATCAACCAAAACGGGGTTCTTCAAAAACAAAACAGAACAAAACAAAAAACCGAAGAAAACAATTAATTGTGACAATGGATAAATGATAAGATAAACAAATATCAGAATTAAGATAAAGAATTTAATATGAAATTAAATAAATGGCAGGTTGAATTCAACCTGAATATTAATGAATATTAATAAACGGTAGTGTTTTTTATTTTTTAGTAATAAAAATGATATCAGTTGAATTCAGAGTATGTCTGGCGCGAATATTTATCAGTTTTCACATTACTAGAACAAATAGAGACTGTGTCTTCTTGAAAACCACATTTCGAAACATTTTGAAAACAAAAATTTGATTTGATTCTTACTTGTTCTCATTTCATACTACTCCTATCCCGAATAGTGATTGCACACTATATATTATATATTGTTCTAAGTTTCACACAAAGATGCAACTGAGTTCGATGACAAACTAAAATTAGTTTAGTCTGTCCGTCCTTTAGTTTGTCCGTATCTTATAGATAATAATTTTCTGTCTGTCCATCCAGAAGTTGTGTAATATTTTGTAAATAGCTCGAAGTGTAACTTCGATACTAAGGGAATATTCCTATATGAAGTATATTTATTTGTCATATATCAAACTTAAATATGTTTCAATCAAAAATGAAAAGTTATTATTATTTAATATAATATCCATTTAACTTACTTAATATGTATGATTATTACCATATGTACCATACGTGGGTTGTCACGTCTCCCATAAAACGGATGAGTTCATTGGAAAGTTTATAAAGTGACATTTAAATTTTGAGTTTTTAAAAACGAAGAACTTCTATGCAAACAGTCCTTGAAGGCTGTATCGTAGTCCTTGAAGAGGTTCTGGTGTCAGCAAAATACAACGTCTAAGCACCATTTTTACTGTGCTTCGTTGGATGATGCTCAGTGTAGATAATATAAGATGCCAATGCATTTATATCAATCATGAGGTAGAACATTGCCAGAGGCCAATGCAACGTTCATCGTTTTACTGTGTATTCACTCAACATTTATAGAATTTGATTATCTCTGGATTGGTGCCAGAGATATCTCCTGTCATGCGTGTACTTGATAGAAGCACAACTTTTTTTTTTTGTTTTGGCACATAGTAACAGATTTTTCCTTTATTTTGACAGCTGCATGTTGCTCGGTAGAAACTTTTTATTTTTCTGACTATTCCAACAAGTGCCAGGCATACAAGCAAACTAAGTCAAGCACAGTTCGTTCACCAATGTTTATTTGTCGAGGATCATCTGTTGGTTTAACAGTATAAATGTGACTTTGTAAAATGTAGGCGTGTTTGATGCATCACACATCCAAAAAATTTTAATGCCGTGTTTTACCGGCTTACAACAGGGTTCATATTGTGTAAATTTAATACGGCCTCTGAATGGAAATAATTGTTTGTCGACAGTGCTGCAGTCATATCGCTTATAGGCTTTTTCCAAATTTCTGTTCAACATTTCCTCTGCCACCTCTTAACGTTGTAAAGTTTCCCAGTCCCACAAGAGTTAATATAAAGCGCTTGACCTGAAACTTTTAAAATCTTTCTTATAATGCCATATTTAATATCGCAATAACGGGCTTACCTGTTCTAGATATCGCCTCTACTACAATGTTTATAAGACTCTTTATAATTTTTCCATAAAATAGTAACACTAACAATGTAATTAAACCAGAACCTGTACCACAAATAAAAATATAGAAATATTTTTACCCAACCATAGGTATGTAGAGAATTACAAGACTGGGTATACTTACCAATGCTAACTGTAAATTCTGTGATGAGAATGAGGAATCGGCCACATCCCTTAACAATAATAAATATGTAGAGAATTCGTTAAGTATAGAAGTACTTAGGAAAAGTGAGTCGATTTTTCTAATACCATTAATATATAATAACTTAAATATCTTATCAATATTTTCATTACAAAAGAATGTTTACAATGCTCGTACCACTGTTGTTAATTGAAAGTACGAGTACGTATTGGTCGTTGCCCAACGTTGTTGGCAGGTCTTCATACTGAATAGTTCGGTGATTTAAGCGTCTCATCAATCTCTTTGAAAGGAAAAAAATTCTTATAATACTCGAGCCTTTATAACTCGATCGACTGAAATTATATAGTCAAACTAAATAGTTCAAGGAAGCTAAACTAAACGGTTGTGGCATTATTAAAAGATTTTATTTGGTTTTTAATATTAAATAAAAGATATAATACTTATTGCTTAACAGGTATAATAGCCTTGAACATATTCCACATAGCAGACATTTTTTTAGAACACCTTACAAAACGGTTTTATTTGTATTATATTTAATGATGTAGGCTATATATATAAATAAATATACATAAAAGTTAATTAAATCGAAAAAATGTTTAATGAATGAGCCCATTCGTTATCTTGTAGAGTTCTAAATGTCAAAGTATTTAGATATTTAATAACTTTTACTGACATAAATTGATAATAAAAATTATATCATTGCACCTTGAGTACAAACGAATACTGTGTGCAGCTATTAAATTAAGTGTTCATTATTTAAATTAAATTAATACATAGCAGTGAACTTTATGTTGAATAAGTTTGGTTTACCTTAAATTCATTGACGCTATTTTGGTGCACACCACCAAATGGTGGATCTATATGGGCTCTGTATTTGTTGGGAAATAAACTAATATGATAGATCGATATTTCCCATCCTTTAAATTCAAATGCTATACCTCTATTGAGAGCTCTTCTAGCCGTTCTATAGTCTATTCATTAAAGCACGACCGAGCATAATTTATTCTTTCGTAAATGAAGCTGTTGATCATAAAATTTTACAAAACTAACTCGCACAAGTTCCCCCACTTGATAGGTACCTCATCGTGGTGTGGGGGTCTAGTGCTTCAATGATATGCTACCTTCTGGTAGGGTTTCTCATGTTAAATAGGCCGGCTGGTGAGTAACGAACTAAAACCTACCTGCGTGTACGTCTGTGTTCCTCAAAGTAAGGGCGTCACACAACGACTTCTGTTTTCTCCATATTAGGGGCAGTCGAATCCTAGTCGTTTTGTGCGTGGGGTGGTAGATTTATAAAGAAACCTGACAGAGAGGAGGTGTTTGCATGGCTAATGGCATCAAAAAATTCTAATGTTACGATAGGTGTCGAACGAGAGGGGCACTTAGCATCGAGATGCTGTGACCTCGCAATTCCAATTTCAAATTTATATTTAAATCCAAATTCTATTTCAATTTCAAAGACTAATACTGGACAGGGCGCGGTCTCCAAGCCAACTTTGGGTAGTCAAGGAGCCTTGGAGGGGAAGATTGAGAGTTTAAATTGGATCTCGATTTCTGAACTTGCGCATCGATACAGCAACCGACGATGCCTCGTTATCACAGGTTAGAAACGTCGACGACATAAGTACATAGATCGAGAAATTATTACTCCTACAAGTGGATTATGCAGGAGTTGCCAACATAAAGAGGACATAGAATCCATCAGCCACTTCCTGTTTATGACGGTAAAAATTTTACATTCAACGCCTTAGCCATCTAACTGATAACTGCGGGGATATAATGGATAGCACTAAATAGTGCTATCCATTATATCCCCGCAGGAGAAGGAAATTATAAAAATTTCATTGGAATCGGAATAATCAATTAAGAATTTCTCCAATATGAACAGTTAAATGTGTATCTTTCATAAAAAATATACGATTGTGCACACCACGCATCGTATTGTGATTAATAGCATCTCCACAGGACAAAATATAAGACATAATTAAATTTATATGTAAAATTTGTACATTTTTCTGTTGTCTTGCCATAGTAATACAGTGACAAAATTTCAGTGTTTGTTAATGTTGATCTTTCGTTACACGTTTTTTTCTGAATTAAATTATTTATCAATAAAAATATTATATCAGTCATCCTCTAAACGTTTGCGTGCATTTCCTTTACTGAAGTTCTTTCTTTTTTTGAAAACGGTTGTCTTTGGATCAGAAGATTCATCGTCTAATGATGTTATGGTTTTTTCCTTAAAACGCTTTACTGGCGGTTCTGGCACAATTTCAGATACAACTGGAGCAATATACAACTTGTCAGATTTCGGTAGTTCCCAATCGATTGCCTGTGGTGGTGGCCTGTAAAAGAAGATTTGACTTATATTATATTTTATGCAAAATGATGTAAATATTCATACATATTATTGATTAAATATGAAAAAGTGTTTGCTCAATAGATTTCATAATCATACCTATTATAATTAAATGATTTGGAAATTGATTAGTTCCTTTAATATTAGGTACCCTAGATATAACATTTCCGCGAATAAAATAAATAAAGTCTATAGCAATATTCAGCCGGGACTGAGTAAATCACTACTCGGCAAGCTTTTGCGTATATTATGTTTTTATTAAGTTGCCGTAGAAAAACAAACAAAAGTTTACTTAATATCGAGTTAGATCTGGAGACACTTAATATTTACTAACAGTTTTTGAGTAGGCTTAATTTTGAAAGTTCGGAAAATATCTATTCCGCAGTCAAAGTTTAACTTACCAATACGCTGAATTATAATTTGTTTAAAAAGTTTTAATAAAAAAATATAATTTATACACATTGAACATTGTAATCATTTTATCTGCGATAATAAGCATTGAAAATCTAGCATGTATTGACATGTCCATGAGCAGCTGCGACAAGCACAAGAATTTTAATATCCTTTCTGCCCAATGCATGGAGTTAGTTTATCTTGTATGAGTATGAATACTAGCTTTTGGCTTTCATATCATCTAGCTTTAAATAGTTCTATACATTAAAGCACTAGTCATGTATTGGTATTTCTATAATTAGATGCGGTAGAAGAAGAATTTTAATATTGTTTCAGTTCAGTACAAAAACTTTATTTAAAACTACTTTGGATAGATTTATGAATCTCATAATATTCCTTTGGTGTTTATATTTACTCAATAATTCTCAATAATTCTGAGTTTTAATACAATCTATTCTTTAAAGCAAAATTAAAGCAAAGATTAGCAGGGCTCTAACTTATTGACGTTGAATCCATTCCTATATGATTTTTATATTCTTCATGCACTGGAACCCTCTGCAATTTGGTTATTCAGAATTGGTAAATCCCAATGAATTTCGACCGAAGCTAAAGCTGGTAAGATCTTTTGAGATTAAAAATTCTTTTCCGATTAGATTATATGAGATGCATATTGAACTCTTTATTAATTTATTGTTTTCATCGTTTCCAATCCGCTTAAACATATTAGCAGTAACACTAATAAGTTCATAAGTTTTGTGAATTTTCTTTTAGAATTTTGTAACCCACTGGGACCTGTAAGCAGACAACAGTAAAGGATATACAAGGATGGATGGATGGGTCAATGTGTGGTTAGTGGTGGGGGGTAATGGAAACTTTATATTTATTTTTTATATACGATAGACACAAATTTCGATTTCATTACAATTAAATCTGTAAATCATTTGTAAATATAACAATATATGACAATAGATATGCAATATACATTTAACTTTTATATATATTTGTTAATTTAATGTCTTGCTTGCATTAATACTAAAACAAGCTTTATGGATAATTATATCAATTATGGTAAGATGTGTAATGAAGATTCGAAATTATGAAACTTTTAAGTTAGCCAACGTCTGTGTAAATTTCACGAATAGGATTTGATAATATCGTAATTATATTAAGTTTCCCGCTGGCTTGCTGGTTTATTAGAACTACATTGATACCACAATGGGACTATGATTTGTAGCTCATAATAACATATGTGATTACATTATCTTGACAAATTTGTCTATGCATCAATAAAGTTATAGTTAGTCTGTATGAAAAAAAAAATTGTTCTCTAGAATTAACCAGTGCACCACATTCTGCTAATAATGGTTTCCATTTTATATTTGATGTTTTAAAGTCAATTATGACCAAAGAAACCATATTTCTATTCTTTTAATGGAGACGCATTTTTAACAGTAGTAAAGTGCACAACAGTAAAATTATATTATTATTAATTAATTTAATTTTTGACTGAACATACAGTTATTTCGAGTATTGCCAAATACCTCTCATCAGTGATTTTGGAATTATTTCTTTTATTTAATTATTCGTAAATAATTTTCTTTCTATTAAAGCAATAGTAAATATTAAGAAACATGATTTCAAATTAAATATGGAATTACAATCGAAAATAAATAAAGACACGATATTGGTTTAAATTTTCTATTTTCGCCTGTGCGAATCGTAGAATAACAGCACAACTTTGTAGAATAACAGGAACTTCTTTGTATTAAGTTTCCAAATAACGTTCTACCATATGTACAAAAAATAATGTAATAAATAATGTCTCTACAAAAGAATAGTTTCGAAATTTAAGAATTAATTAATTCAATTATCCTACAACTGATTTATGATTTCGTTCTAATATAACACAGCAAATAAATTTGTTAATAAGCTTTCACAGCAAATTAACAAAAAACTCCAAGTCCGAATATACAAGTTAAGTACGGCTTTGGGAAAGTATTTTATTTGCCAATTCATAGAAATTGCAATTCTCTGAGACAATTTTATTTTCTACGAATGAGTTTTCAGTTTATAATGCTAAATGAAAAAGCCGTGCAAAACTCATTATTGTTTCTGTGTAAGTGTCAAAAGCGACTTTGCAGTATTTTATATTCGAATCTTAAATAAGAATTAAAGATTATCAATTTACACGAAAGGGCTGCATGTTACTTTACTGCTTTACCAAATTGTGTAAATGTTACTTTTCTTAAAAATTATATATTTCCTTATTTGTACGTTTCTCTCAAGTTGCTGATTATATCAACAAAAATAGTACAATATTTTGGAACTGACGAAATCATCAGTTATTTTTTTGTGTTCCAAGTTTTCTTAGTACAAGTACCTTCTGCTATTGTTCCTGATGGCAAGAATGTAGATCTGTTAGTTTCGCAAATATTTTCCATTTGTTGTAAAAAGCTTTAAGCACTGAGTATATTATCAACAAATTACATATAATCGCTGCAAAATCCAGAGAATTAACCGTATTTCATTGTATGCAGTTTTTGATTATAAATTTTAACAAAACTTTGCAACATAGTTTGAAATGCTTTTATTTTGCATTTTGAATTTCACTCTTTTAATTATTTTATAGTGCTTATACGACTTATTTCTACTTCTTGTTTTGTTTTATATAGTAAGGGGAACTTATTATTCCTGTTGGGAGTGTATATTGCCCGGTTAGCATCACATACCAAATTTTGTTCGTGCATTTAACAAATTATTTTAAATTAAAATATCTTAACTGTAATTAAAAATAATCAACATACTTTTCTTCAACGGTTTGCCATGCTCCTATTGTAACTGCAGCAGCTTCTTCCTGCGTTTTATAAGTAGCTCTAATTTCTTGAGAAGTTTTAGTTTCTTCTGTTCCATCTCTTTTACAATATTTTTTTAGTTTCTCCCTATTATAGCGAGCCACTTCCTCGTTGACATTCTCACGAAATCTCTTTGCTTCAGCTGCTTGTTGCATTTCTTGTTGTTTAATTGCAATATCGTTTATGCGTTGATAATCTTCCCAAGAAAGATATCCTTCCTTAGGTTCTTTCCAAACGGATTCATTAGTTTTAACATTCCAATAATATGTATACCCTTTATCACATTTGCTCTCTACCCAAAGAGATGCATTTGGTACTTGTTCATGATCAACTTTATCTGTGCGTACACGCCGATCATCTTCATCATCCGAATCGCCAACTAGTCGCATAGGATCTACTTGTGCACTAGTTTTACTGTTGATTGGACGTTCACCAGCAGAATTGCCAACATTATTCATAACACTAACCGATTGAGCTGTCATATCACCTTTTGCTTGTACGTCATTAGCATAAGAAGCTAGAGCTGCTGCCTCCATTTTTCGTATATCAGCATCCATTTGGCGACTCTCCTTATCTGCTTTTTCACTGAAACGTCTTATTTCAGCTATACGCTTCGAAACATTCAATTTATGGCGTTTACCATTTTCATGAAATGATACACTCTAAATGGAAACAATGAAATATTAGCGTTTCATATGAAATAAAATACAAAGTTTTATATGAATATTTACAACTTTATTGTCACTGATCCAACATTTGCAGAAGTCGCAAAATTTGCGGTCGTTTGATTTCCAATACTCAGTCCTACAAACGTAATGTATATTATCAACATATATTTAACATATTTAAGGACTTACATTTTGGTAAAATTATTGACGCAATGTAAACAAATTTGTTTTACTCTACGGATATATTTCACAATGTATATCGTCCGATTTTCAGTATTGTTCAATAATCTAATAATTGCTTTTGATTTACAATGTTAGAATAATTAGGTAATTGATAAATTTTACTTTATACAACTATTCAATATCAATAATTTGTTAAACTAAAACTATGCTATCTTACTTTTCAATAACAAGAAATAAAATGCCATCAAAATCCAAATGTCAAATAATGAAAACAATTCTAGAGCTGCCAACTCTGTTATTTGTATTTGTCAGAGTTAACCACTTCAGAATTTCTTAGAATAAATTATATATTGTCCAACAATTTACAGAGGTATAAGTTAAGTAATAGACCGTATGCAAGTTCAAGTAAATTGAGGTAAAGTAAATTGAAATTTCCTAGGGTTTTTTGCACTGCACTTATGTAAATATTTATTTATTTATTTATTGCACTTATTTATTATTTTTGGTTAAAAATTTTCAAATTTATTTATTTATTAAACATCTTATGATATTTTCACAATGGTAACACCTAATTCACCTAATTTTTTTCAAATTTACCCTACGCGGAATAAATGTCTGATAAATGTCAATATCGCTGCCATGCCGATATAACTTACTATTTTCCACAACTTACCATCAATTTACTCAAACTCGCACACGACCATAAAGCCTTTTCGATGGCTCGCAAGTATGGCAAAAATGCATGATGGTCTATATTCATAAATTGAAAATTAAAATGAATTCAAAATTAAGAAGAATGGTAAAAATGTTGAAAATTTCAAAATAAAACATTGAAATTTTTCTTTTTTTCCAATTTTCAAATATATATATATTGTTGTTTTGCGTACATTTCAGCAAGTATAGACCAGCAACTTGCTGTTTTTTGCCATACTTGCGAGCCACCGAAAAGGCCTATAGTTGTTTATCAGTTTTGAGTTTTTAATAAAAAAATTTCTTTAATATCAATATAATACGGGGCTATCAGTAATTTAATAATGGAGAATATATTAATGATTTCGAAAAATATTGGCGAGTGTGGGGAATTCTAAAAATTTTCTTATTTACTGTAGTTTGCTACTCTCACTTAAAATTTTAAAAGCGAATAACATAATACGTCTGTTCCACGAGCTGCCAAATTACGTTCTTTACACAGATTTTCATGTAACAGCTTTGTGTGAGGTCTGGTGAAAACACCACTGCCACGCAAATAAACAATACAAAAACTTAAATTCAAACCAAAACAGCTGATTCACACATCAACACAAATTTTATGTGAAATAATATGTACGAGTAAAGTCTGTGTAGTGTTTCAAATATCGACAGGGATGATACGCTCTCTCAGATGCTCTCATTTATTCGAAAATTTGCTAGTGGAACGCAAATACACAGTATTACTCAAAATAATAGCGAGTAGCTTGTGGAGCAAACTTATTATTAGGCGTTTTCGGTGGCTCGCAAGTGTGGCAAAACACAGCAAGCTGTTGGCTTATACTGGCCAAAATGTACGCAAAACAAGTACACTTTATCCTCTCCATAGGCCAGTTGTTGTTTACTTACCAAAGACTTCGACCAGTAAAGAAAAAAGTGTTAACAACGCAATAAGCGAACTATTGTAAACCTTCATTGGAAATTCCAACGAATATTGCAATCATATGTCAAAAATCATATGTAACACAAATTCAAACAAATTTTAAAAATTTCATAAATTTGAAAATTGGGAAAAAAGTAAAATTTTAGTGTTTTATTTTGAAATTTCCAACATTCTTACCATTCCTTTTAATTCTGTATAAAGAATTGCGTATCATATATTGATTTAAATTTAAAAATCGTCACTTGTCTACAGCACAATATATCAGAAATAAATGTAATGAATACTTTATAAGCGAAAATAAAAAATTTTTTTTCATTCATTTTATTTTTTAAATATGTACATAATTTATTTTTTTGTTATGTAAAATAAAATAAAGTAAAATATCTTATTTATTAATTGGAATTATTAATGTTTTAACTACAATTTGACTTCTTCTTCAAAAGTCAAAAGTCGTATTTATTTTTATAAATAGGATAGAAATATCCATCAATTAATTAACTGTAATAAGAGTTTATAATTGCGCAGATATTACAATAAAAAAGAAGCAATGTTTTACCTGCACATAATGACAAAAAACTATATTTAACTTATTCCAGGAATCCCGTTCATTCTAGGATTTGGTTTCCTTCCATTATTCTGTTGTTTTAAATAATAACAGTTAACGCTTGAATTTGTGGAAAAAACTCATGTGGATAAAATAAATAAATAAATAAAAATTTAATCATATTAAATTTGTTATAATACTTTTAATATAATAATAATTTAAAAAAAGTATTTTAAATAAACATTTAAATATATTAAATTTTTTATAATAATTTTATAAAAACATATTCGAAATACTGGTCAACCCATGTGGATAAAATAAAAAATATTAAAATAAAAATTTAAAAATATTAAATTTATTATAATAATTTTATTATAACAATAATTTTATTAAAATATATTCAAAAATCTCATCATTATAAGTCACTCACATATTAAATTAAACTCTTTTTAATTATTTTTTAACTTATCTCCCACAAAATTTGCTTGAAAAATATTTTGTGCAAAATAGGGAAAAAACTCCCATTCCCATATGAGTCAGCATAGGGAAACAGGGAAAAGAAAAAAGTCTCATTCCCATATGATTCAGATTAGGGGTGAAATTGTTTTGCTTCAAAGTTTTTCGTTTTCCATTCGAAATATTGTCTGAAAATTTCTTTTAAAGTCTAGGCACGGATACAGATAATCCAATATCATCCTATACAGACAGTATGGGACAGCACCTAGAATCTGAATATGTCCGTATGTTCGGTCCGACCACACGTCTGTCGGATCTACAGTCATAATCGCTAAGGTTTAACGTGATGTAGTTTACATTTTCTCCTATCACTTACCGATTTCTTCTAAAATTTACAAATAAATATCTGATTTGATGTTCGAGTTAAATATTCGTAGATCATAGATCATAATACACTCGTATATAGTTTTGTCCCATTTAGACTCATTGCCTTAAGATATTAAGCTTTAATTAATAAAAAAACTTTAATTTTAAGTTTTTATTGATTGTTAAATAATAGTATCAAGATATAATACGAGTTTAAATACTTTACCATTAAAGTTCCTTTGTCTTATGATATGGAAAATATTCCAAGACTTTTTCAATGAAACTCCATTTGTCCTATAATTTTAGGTGTGCCAATAATTTTAGCCATATTAGTGTCCATATGTATATGTGTACGCTTTATATCCTTAAATTTTTTTATTAGTCTCTTCATTTCATAGTATATAAACAGCTTGAAATAATTTTTTTTGAAGCTTTTGGTTTTGCTATATTTTTGGTTACTTTAATAAACTTAACTAATTTTGTGCCAATGCATCAATTCTATATGCTTCAGTACTAGCCTCATTCTATTACTAGAATGCTTTAATGGATGTCTTATCTGTTTATTTTTTGCTTTGCATCAGCCATAGGAGCTTTGTAATGCGTTGATGATGATTAATAATGGAGTCAATCCGAAATCCAATGCCTGTCGCATAATTGAATATTATCCCATGCGCGCTTATCCTCTACTGATACCGACTGTGCCACACGAGTACATTATTCCTTATATACTCTATACATTCTCAAACTTTATATCGCCCCTATCCCATTCGTTGGATCAGTGATGCGGTATTTAAAAAACGACGAATTTTCACTTGGCTATAGCCACTGTCATTTCGTGTGAGTTTTTCGTAGGTAAAGAATGTTATGTGGGTCTGCGAGGGTCTGTGAGGGAGTAGAGTTTCAGCAGAAAAAGCATTGATTTTTCAAATGGAAACATTTTTATGGTTTGCATAATGTCTGCTAAATTGCCCACATCCGCTCTCGCAACTACCTCCCACTCACATCCGCCATTCACAGGCTTAAATCCATGATGTGCTCATCATTCAAACGAAAACACATATGCGACGTTAATGTGTTTGTATTTCGCAAACGTTTGGGATTTGGTAAAAAGGTTTTCCATACACGAAAAATATCCTCGGGTAAGATTTGCTGGCATTTCATTCATTTCATTAATATTTTCTATGTGACAAAATCAATTTTAGTTTTGTGCAGATTATATTTTTTTAATATGCTTCGAGTTTTATTTTGTTTTTGAGCAGACAACACAGAAAAATACGTTTAGCTGATAGACTCTGTCCTCTGTCCTTGCTGTTGGTTTAATGAAAATTTGGTATTCTTAAATTTTTTAGCCCTAGTGCAGGTACTCATCACTTTTATGGGTGTGCTAGTTAAAGTAATTGGTAATAATTTTATTTGCATTAAAATTATTTTTAAATACCATGCTTAACTTAATAGAAATGATGAGCTATAGTAACTACCAGTACGAGCAGGAAGATCTCATTACTCTAAAAATGATTTTAATTAGACTGTAAATTGAGCACAAAACAAACGAGTCATGCTGTGGATGCTTAAAAACTGTTTTAAACTACAATAGTTCCATAACGAATTCCGCATTCTCTTTTTCTCCTTATTAACTCGTATAAACCCTTTCCACCTTGCAACATAAAAGCCGTAAAAGACATTAAAAAGAAGCCTTTCTATATCTTACGCTTAACGAAAGAAACAAATTGTACAAATTCTCGAGCGAAACACACTAATCCAGACAGATGAGTGTAAAAGGATAACAAATGACATCAGTTTTAAACACCAGCTTAGAAATTTGTTCAGTTCTTGAGCTCGCACGCAGGTTAAGGTATAAAGAGTGACTACCCGAAATCATATAAAATTATTAGTGATGGCAAGAACTAGTCTGCTTTATTTTGTTGTTGGCTTGGCTTTGTTTGCTCGACTACTGACTACTGATTCCTGATTAGCATTCGCGCAAAGGCTAAGAAGGCAAATGCAAGGGTTCTAAGTAGTGTTTAAGTTCACATGCTGAGCAGGACGATCTCATTACTTTTAAAAGGATTTTAATGAAGCCGCAAAATTAATCTTAAAACAATTTTATGGGTTTGTTGCTTCGTTGCTATTTG